ACCTATTGGCCCAATGCATCAAATGATCTAAATCTCCCTGGAAGTCTACAGCTTCCTTGATACAATTAGCCACTCCCAAAATCTTAATGTCTTATGCAAACTTCAATATTTTGTTAGTCATTCCAGAGTCAATATCATTAATATATATCACAAACAGCAAAGGATCCAGTACAGAGCCCTGAGGCACACCACTTGTAACTGTGATCTAGTCAGATCTAACTCCATTTATTACTACTCTCTGCTTTCTTCTCTCCAGCCAATTTGCTATCCAATTTAATAACACTTCCCCCCACACCCACAGATTTAGCTTTTGTGACAAGTTTTTTATGAGACACCTCATCAAATGTTTTCTGAAACTCAAGGTAAATCAAATCCTCAGGATTTCCTCCATCATCTCTTGCAGTAACATCCTCAAAGAATGTCACAAGATCTATTAAACAAGACTTTCCTTTAGTAGAACCATACTGGCTCTTTGACACTATATCAAACTGCTATAAGTGACTCTGCAATGCATCTTTAATTAAAAACTTGCCCAACTACTGATGTAAGACTAACTGGCCTATAATTGCCTGGACAATGTTTATCACCTCCTTTAAATATTGGATTAACATTAGCCAACTTCCAATCTTCTAGTACTCTTCCATTACTCAATAACCTATAGAAAATATTAGCTAGTGGTTCACAAATAAAATCTTTAAAACTCTAGGATAAAAGTTGTCTGGTCCAGGGAATTTATCAATTTTGAGGTTTCCCAATTTTTCTCTTACAATTTCAGAACTTAAAATGATATGTTTTACATCAATATTGTCCCCATACATTAAGTGCTCTGGTTGAGGCATAATACTTGTATCTTCCTTCTTAAAATCTGAAGGGAAGATATAATTTAATAAGTTTACCATCTTATAATATTCCGAGATCAGCTCCCCACTATCATTTATAAGATACAATCCACATCCTATCATTTTGCTAACCCATCATGTACCTAAAGAACTCCTTATTGTTTGATTTAACTCTCTCAGCCAACCTTCTTTCATATACAGTTTTGCCCTTTTTAACCAGCTCTCTTGATTTCCTATAGTTCTCCAAGTCATCATTATTTCCAGTAAGTTTAAGTTTCTTGAATTTATTATGTTTATCCCTAATATGACCTTTTAAACCTTTACTAAACCATACTGTCTTATTCCAATCCATTGCCCTTTTTTTCTGTAGGGAATATGTATGTCCTGTATGCATATTAATTTTCCCAAAAGCTTCCTACATCTATTCAAGGTCCCCTCCCAACTCTTTAGTCCAGTCTACAGAAGCCAGATCATGTCTCATTCCATCAAAATTGGCTTTCCTGAAATTGGGAATCAGAGTACCATTCTTCTTCTTCAATTCTACATGTAGTAAAATCCCAAACCTAATAGTGAAATGGTCGCTTGTACTTATATGCTCACTAACCATAACTCTGTTTATCATATTTACATCGGATGCTAATAATGAATCTAATATAGCTTCCTGTCTTGTAGATTTCATCACCAGTTGGTGTATAAAAGTATCCTGAACAATTTCCAAAATCCAATCCTCTTCACTGTCAGAATCAAAATTTTCCCAATCAATACCCGTGAAATTAAAATCTCCCAAAATAACAACATCTTTTTCAGCTACCATTCTGATCTCATTATACAGTTTCTTATTAACTTCTACATTCTTACCTGGTGGTCTATAAAAATCCCAATTACAATACTTTTCCCTTTATATCCACTAACACTAACCCAAAGTGACTCAACCTCATTGCTATTTTCTTTAATATGCTCTAACTCAACGGGATGCAATTCACTCCTCACATATAAAGCTACTCCTCCCACTTTTTTTCAATACTTGATATCTAGTAAATAAGCTGTAGCCTGGTATTTCAAAAACATTTCTCTCATCAAAATTGTTCAGATCCAACCACGTCTCAGTG